GTCAATTTTAGTTTAATGAATCTTTATTACAGGAAATTAAATAACCATTATAAAAAATATAAGAACTAATTCAAAAATAAATTGAAACTTACATTTAGGGGGTGCCTACCACCGTCATATAATATCCACTCACATAATATATCTCCTACTTTTACATCAAACTAATTTTATTATTTTATTTAAATATTATTTTAATGTAAACTAAAAATTTCACTAACAACTAACTATACTATTTTTTCTAAATTAACTTTAGTTAACTAAAAGAAACTTACTTTGAGTTAATTCACACAAATTATTTCTTTTACAAACACAATAGGGCTGCAAACGACTCGAAGAGCTCGTGAGCGCTCGAGTCAAAGCTAAGCTCAACCTTGGTCAAACTCGAGCTTGAGTCGAGATCGAGCAAATCGAGTCCATTGTCGAGCCGATCTCGAACCCCATTTTTAAAGCATTGAGCGCCTCGACCAGCGGCCCGATATATATCTAAATTTACATAAATAGCCCTTGTGTGTTTATAGTTGGTCTTGTTACTACATAGTAAATAGTCTAGACTTCTAAGGTGCAATGGGCCATTTACAATATTTACTACCATAATTTCGAATCAATTTCGCTCAAGTTTCAACAATCCACATTTTCTAATCCAGTTATCCAATCAATTGCCATCTTCTCCGTCTGTACTCTGTCGCCACGCCCACGCTAACGCCAGTCGTCATCGGTGTTCAACCTCGTTACTAACGAACAAAATCCTCGCAGCTGGTGCTTAACCCGTGACTCCACGCCGCATCTTTTCGGTCCAGAAACAGCTCACCGTAACTTGTCACGGTCAATGCTCCAAGGATGTAAGTTTCTGCTTCTTACCTGTTAAAAATCCTTGGATTCGTGATTTGGGTTTGACAGGGAACATCAATAATTTACTATTGAATCTAAAATTGAAGTTCTCAAACATCTTTTAAGTTGGAATTTTTGAAACTGATTGTTTAGTTGGGAAGCAAATTTATGTAGGATTTTGGTGATTTGGGTTTTATATACCTTAATAACTGTATTTGTATTAGGCTACAAATCTATGTAGATGAAATGCAATTAAATGGGAAAGATTAGAATGAAATGCAAATTTAATGTGGGGAAAGATTAGGATGGCCTTATTAAACTGCCATCAATCATTTAACTTCAGTTTTAATTTCATTGGTTGCTTTAGAGGATCAGTAGGACTGAAGTTGTTTAATTGGGACTACACCTTTGGAAATTTTGTTTCTGCTTGGTTTGATCTGAGGCTCATATGTTATGTTGATGCTCTTTTTGGCCTGTGTTTATGGATGGTACTGTTTATAGCCTTTAGTCTGTTTGCTTGTTAGTTTTTAGTTTCTGTTTTTTGGAGGGGGAATAAGGTTCTAAACTTGCCCATGGTTTTGATTGCTAATGGCTTATTGTTTTACTATTGATTGATAAAAGAATATAAATCATCTCAAGCTTGTTTATTTCTTGTATGTGGCTAGACTACATAAACGATGATGTGGAGATTCTGCTAGCCCAATGGATATCAACAATGAAGTTGAGAATGAGACAGAAAAAGTGCCTTCTCTTGGAGATGAAGAGTTAGGCAGTGCAGATGAGGCCTAGGACGAGGAGCTCGAGGAAGACCCGAATGACATGGCTGATCACATGCACTCTAGATGCATTCAGAAAAAAAAAAGGAAAGGGCAAAAAAATCAAAAGTCTGGGCTCATCTCGAGGAAGTAGACGTTGGAGTCTATACATATTGTCAGTGCAAACATTGCTCTGAAGAAAACCAAGACGAGCACAAGATGCCTTCTTATTTCGGTAGAGATGTTAAACGTTTGTTTTTATCTTGATTGTGAATTTTGTGATATTCTTAACTCTTGGACATTGTTGGTTGTACTCAATTTATGTTGAAGATCTGTTTGGAAGTTTAATGTTGTAATTTTTTTTCTGTTTTTTTTTTCATGGTGCCCTTTGTTTTGTAAATTAAACCTTAATTTCGAGCCGAACTCGATCAATTTTCGAGCATTGAGAATTTGATTTGTCTCAAGCCGAGTTCGAGCATTCTTGTTCCTCTGGGGAATCGAGTCGAGTCGAGCCTCGTTCATCATGGCTCGACGAGCTCGAGTTTGAGCTCAGTGCAAAAAAAATTCGATCCCTGGTCGATAAAGTAAGTGTTCGACTCGGCACGTTTCGTTTGCGGCCAGTGACGTCTAAGTGCCACCTATATTTTTCCATCAACTTAGCTCGCGACTAAGTGCCACCTATATTTTTCCATCAACTTAGCCTACTACCGCAGCCTCTAAGCCTGGACCACAGTTTGTGTAGATACATATGAGAACAGCAGTAACAACGATTGATAGCCTCTAAGCCTGGACCACAGTTTGTGTAGATTCATATGAGAACAGCAGTAACAACGATTGATATAAATCCCGCGCAGAAGGGTTGCTTTGCATTATCAAACAATTGGCATGTGTACGACTATGAACTTACTGCACATAGTAAACACTAACCTTACCATGAACGCATTGCAGCTAGAAGGAAAAGAAAAAAGAAATACATGTGAGATAATTAAGTGTCAGAATCCATGATTAGAATTAAATGTGTACAAGAGTAGGAATGCCATTCCTTAAATGTCATTGCGTATTTACAATCCAAATCTAAAAAGTCCACGAAGCCTTCCAAACATTATAAGAGTCTTCAAGTCCCTATGCTCACCTAAAATACCTTGGGAACTGTTGTCATCAGCTCGAGAAACCCAACCGTACAATCCATTTCCAGAACCAAAGGCAGCAAAATAATCATTCTTCCCATGATTATCTACCTCGAGTTCCTTCTCAAACATGACTGCCCTATAAAAAACATTATATAACTCTCTTCATGCAAAAGCATACCACCCAATTATTATAAGAAACCAATAGTTTTGATTTGGTAATGATCAAAACACTCTACCTAGAATTAATATAGCACATAAAATTGTTCATTTCCTCATTAAGGCAATATCAACATTGCTTTGCACTTCACGGGTATGAAAAATTGGAGCTGAATTCAAATTAGTCCATCAATGTTTTAGTGCATGAGCAAGTATCACATACTTCCCATTTATCAAGTAGGTTTCCAGTCGAGCTTCTTATTATCTGCTAAGAGCATCTAGGAGTAAAAGGGTCAAAAATAGATATGCAAGAATCATTAATAAACTATGCCATTGACAACCTCACATTAGACAACAAAGACAGTAAGCATTTGCCGAACTATAATAAGAAGATAGGAGTTAGGCTATTTAAATTAGGCGAAGAAACAAAACTTACATGGTAAAGTCGAACTAATGTGTTCACGGTTCCCGGGATTACTGACTCAAAAATAAGATAATGATGCACTCGCCAACTCCTCAAGTCTACTCATTTTCTCTTCAATTTCATGTTTCACAAGGAGCTCGATCAGCACACTTTTCTTTGTTGCAGAAAGGACATACATTGCCTCTATAAGCAGACATAATACAAAAGTTTTCACAGTTATCTGGTAAGAAGAGATTAGAAGGACACCAACAAAGAATGGTTTTATAAACTTCAAAAGAAATCTGGTAGTTTTAGATATCCTGGTATACACAAATGAAGAAGTGAAGACACTCAATATTTAGATCTCGCTGATTGCAGATTAGAGAAAATATACCCTTAAAAATAATTACACAACTCAACAACCCTCAAACTACAAATTTAGCACCAAATTTACTACATTCATTTTTTATCAAACTGTACAGAACATCAAACAAACAGTATTGTACAGCGGTTAAGAAATAACATTAAAGAATGATATTTTGATAATGAATGTGGTTGCCATCATTTTAAAACATATCACCTGTCCTTAAATGACCTTGTAAAACATATCTTCCATCATTTTCCAATGTGGTTGCCATCCGATTGCATCGAAACAAACACAATATTTAATTACATTGCCACCTGTCCTTACGCTTAACCGATTGGGTTGCATGATATTTGAGCTGAAATTTGCGGCAGCTAGTGTGGTTATTTGACTTTGTAGACAAGAATAAACTGTATAAACAAGAAGGATAATACGAAATCTGGGCAGAGTATGCAAAAACAAACTGTATAAACAAGTAGGATAACACGAAAGGCTTGCTGGAGGCACATGAAAAGGCAAGTCATAAGATATTGTCAATTTACCACTCCAACAGACACATACAAACCTTTCCTGCTCAATCATTTATGAGTTGTGACATCATGAGCAAAAGCTGAGTTTGAAACAAGCCAATTAATAGTAAGGTTTCAAACTGTACCGTGTCACGTCTCAAAATCTTGTTCTTCAAAAGTTGATTAGATATTAAACAAAGTAAAAAGTAAGTTTCACTGATTTACAGCAACTATCCTACTCCCCAGGCAAGAATCTCATTTAGGGAACACGGTCGATTAGTTTGAGCAAATACTTTGCTTAAAGCAGAGAAAAATGACTAAAGACACTAACAAAATCAAAAACTTTAACTATCAAACATGAGATCACATCTTTCTTACTACTTTTACATCATATCAACTTAAATCCTTACATTTTAACTCTGGCCTTTTAATTTAACTCACTTTATCCTAAAAATCAAGTGAATAAAATTTTAAAATAGATAGTTAATCAAATTTATAAAAGTTCGATTAATGTTTTGCATCTATTTTACAAAGCGCACTTCATTTAAAGCTTATTAACCGATAAAAAAATAAATAAATAAAGGAACTCAATTACACGGACTTAATAGAACAATACAGTTGNCAATTAGACGATCGTCAATCAATTGTCCATTAGGCTATTCTCGATTGTTGACACCAATGATGGAAAAAGGTTTGTGCCCAGGGATGTAGTGTTTTGGACTGATACATTCCCTTATCACAAGATGGAAAGTGACAATGAGAGTAACTCTCTTACACCACTGATTCATGGAACTCCTGTTGAGGATGAAACTGAGAATGTAGAAACTCCCACTGAGAGTGAAGAGGAGAATCAAAATGATGGTAAGAGATTGAGAAGGAGGCCTGTGTGGATGAAGGACTATGTCTATCCTACTGACACAATGGATTGGTCTCAATGTGTTCAAGGAGATGAAGTGTTTCTGGCAAACATTACAGTCCAACAGGAACCAACCTATTATGAAGAAGCAAAAAAAGATCAACTATGGGTAGAGGCAATGCACCAAGAGTTGCAGGCCCTAGAGCACAATCACACATGGGAACTGGCATACCTGCCACCTGGGAAGAAAGCGATAGGATCTAAATGGGTTTACAAGATAAAGAGAAGAGCTGATGGGAGTGTCGAGAGATACAAAGCTAGGTTGGTGGCAAAGGGATTTACACAAGTGGCTGGAGTGGATTATTTTGATGTTTTTTCACCAGTGGCAAAGCTGGTAACTGTTAGGATGTTCATGGCCATAGCTGCAATGAGGGGTTGGACCATATGGCAGTTGGATGTAAATAATGCCTTTCTTCATGGCACTCTATCAGAAGAAGTGTATATGAATATTCCTCAGGGATATGACAAAGGACAACCAGGTCAAGTTTGCAGGTTAGTAAGAGTTTATATGGCTTAAATCAAGCCTCAATAGAGTGGAATTGTGAGTTGTCAAAAAGATTACTGAAATTTGGTCTAGTGCAGTCATCTCAAGATCACTGTTTGTTTACTCAACACAGAGGTGGTCATTTTCTTGCTATGCTGGTATATGTAGATGATGTACTGCTCATGGGGTCAGATAAGGAGCTCATCACAGCACTTAAGGGATACTTGCATGATCTATTTACTATTAAAGATCTTGGAATTGCTAAATATTTCTTGGGTATTGAAATCACCAGAACAGCAGATGGCATTCATTTGTCTCAGAAGAAGTACATTCATGATCTGTTAAAGGATCTTGGATTGGAGGATTGCAAACTGACTAGTACTCCTTTGCCTCAAGGACTTAGGTTGACAGGTTTTGATGGTACTTCACTCTCAGAACCAGATAAGTATAGAAGGTTGATAGGGAGACTTTTGTACTTGAATATGAGCAGACCAGATGTTAGCTATGCAGTGCAACAGTTGAGCCAATTTGTGAATAACCCTTTCACTGATCACTGGGAAGCAGCCATCCATGTGCTTAAATATCTTAAAGGCACTGATTCTCTCGGCTTGCTGCTTAGCTCTAAGTCCGATTCTACTGTGAGTGGTTTTTGTGATGCTGATTGGGCTACTTGTAAGGATACCCGTAGATCAATCACCGGTTATTGCGTTTTCATTGGTAACAGTCTCATCTCTTGGAAAAGTAAGAAACAAGTCACAGTGGCCCGGTCCTCGGCTGAGGCAGAGTATAGAGCAATGGGGACAGCTGTGTGTGAGTTGCAGTGGATCAATGCTCTGGCTAAGGAGTTTCAGCTACAGCCTTCTTTGCCAATCACATTGTGGTGTGATAATCAGGCTGCTATGCACATCACTGCCAACCCCGTTTTCCATGAGAGAACTAAGCACCTAGAGATAGATTGTCACATTGTTCGAGATCAGTTCAAGGCTGGTTTTGTTAAGCCAGCTTATGTTCATTCATCTGCCCAGTTGGCCGATTTCTTCACAAAGCTACTGTCACCGGGAGTGTTTCATCGTCTCTTGTCCAAGCTGGGTGTTTGCATTTCTTCCCACACTCCAGCTTGAAGGGGGGGTGTTGAATATCATGAGTGCGTGTATGTGCGAGTGCGTATAAGTGACTGTGTGTGTGTAAATAATAAAAAGGCTCAAGTGTGAACGACGTCGTTTTGTCCCTTACTTGTGAACGACGTCGTATAGGTATTGCATGGATTATAAATCCTGTCATGTACGGACCTCGAGTGTGAATAAGAAAATGAAAATGTCTTTTGTCACTTAGCTTGGGTTTTCACAGGTGAGGATTTTTAGGGAGATTGTGAAGAGATTTTAATTGCAACGCGTGAATAGATTAGCCGCAGTATAAGGAATCAAAATTTTAAATTGCACGATTTTTAAAAGATTGCATATTCAGTAAGTCAATTTGGTTGACTGCTATCTTTTTTTAACTTTTCTTGTTTGATTTATTGACCTTTCTTTTTCAATATATATAGATTATTGAAAAAAAAAAAAAGAAATTCTTTCTCCCCTATTAAACTCTGGTATTGACTTAATTAGGGCACGCAAATCATTCAATTTTTTGGAAGTGCATTGCTGGTTACCATGTAAGCTTATTTATTGTACATTTCTGTTAACCATTCTATTTTGTGTAACCTAATTTAATTATTCTCATCCAATCCAGGAATGGGGTGGGGAGCCTCCCAGGGAAGGTTTACGCTTTGCTATTAAGAAAAACTTCGGATGCTTGGAAGCTTTAAAACAGAAGATGACTGAAGAAGCTGCAGTATTGCCAGGTTCTGGGTGGGTGGTAAGTTAGTTTTTAATGTGCTTTTTTTACATTATCCTCACTTACCTTTCTTCTTACAATAGATGTGTCTGCAAGTAAAGTATTCTTATTTATTTATTGGCTAGTGCATATTCAGTAATGTTAATTTACTTCTGAATTCCCCAGTGGCTTGGTGTGGATAGCAAAAATATCAAGCATCTTGTGGTGGAGACGACGGCAAATGATGTACGTGAAGTTATTTCTGATGTAGCAAGAAAGTGATGATGATGATGATGTGTAGTTTTTCAGTCAATTGCGTAGCTCTGTGCCTTTTGATGTGTGTCAAAACCGTTAGAATGAATTTACATACCTACTTTAGACAAACGAGGATAGGGGAAGTAGAAGAATTACTTTTCTCCGATGATTGATAATAGGATGGCGTAATCTGAGAGAATTAGTTAGTTATCTGAAGATCAAACAATTTTTTTAAATCATTGAATAAGATAACTCCAATTGAACAAGATAGCAACTTTATGAAAGAAAAGCTTCTAGTCAAATCAAAAGAATTGTTTCTGTTCGATCTTGTTACATTTAGTTGATTGTCGATGCAAGAGCAAATTCAAATGTTCACAAATAAACTGATTGTAGTCATCCAACGACTACGGAACGACCAATCTCTCCTAACTTTATTGACAACTAAGAGAAGCTCGTTGATTACAACTCTAACCAAAAGATAACTTTAGAGAAGCTCGAAGGATTTCATGTTTTGACGGCATTAAGACATAGAGAAATAGAGACCCGACGCCGGCCCTTGCACCTTAGTAGTGCGTTTGTGCGTGTTGCACCTTTTGCTTTTATGGAAGTGAGATGGCGCATGTATGGTGAATATAAATATTAGTTGTGAAAAATAAAAATAAAATAAAATAAAATGGACTTGATCTATTTGTTATGAAACTTGAGTTTTTCGTACTGCCTTGACAATTTTTTTCTTGCAGGATCCACTGGCCACCAAAGGGCCTACTTTGGTTCCTTTATTAGGAATCGATGTCTGGGAGCATGCATACTATTTACAGGTGCTTTGACTTTGTTCTGTTCATTTCCTTTTCTTTTTCTTTTCTTCGAGAAACATTTTCTTTTTGTCCTTATTTTCCCTCGAGGGCTGTTCAACTTCCTTACTCATACTTGCATGTGTTGCCTCACGAACTTTTATCCTTTCATCATGTTTGCAAGTCATGTGGTTTTACTTTAGCTCATGAGCGTACAAAAGCTCTTGACTTTTAACAACACCGACTCATTTGCTTTTCAACTGCAGTATGAGAATGCAAGAGAAGACTACCTTAAGAGTATATGGAAAGTCATAAGCTGGAAATATGCTAATACAGTTTATAAAATGGAGAGTATTTGTTTCAACCGCGGGGACAATGTTCTCCGATTTGACTGCCTTCTCAATGACATATGATATTCGAACTTGTTTTTTCATTTCTCCTAGGTTATGGTTTAGTATAAAATTAGGTGTTTGTCAAGGCTCAAATTAGCATATCACGTTATTTCTTTGTACTCATCAAAATGAGTGTCCTATTTTGTGGTCAACTTCTGATTTTTTGGTGGTTTTGGTCCATAACAAAACTGAATACGATCTGTGAAAATTGGGTTTAACAGCATTAGGGTTGTTCTAAAGTTGATTTAATGTTATGAAGCTATTTCTAGTGTTTTTTATGGCATTACATTTGCAGCACGCATTTTTGTTCTCTTCCCCTTTGCATTGAATGTTGATAATGAATAGGAGAGAGCATTGGTGCAGTGCGGTTCAGTTCAAAGCCGCACCACAAGCAAGAAAGAAAAAGACCGAACCAAAATTGAATGGAATTTTTGGTTTCGGTTCGAATCTCATACTAGATCAAGTTGTTCGTTGAAGTTATTGATTGTTTTGATGTCATTTGATATGGTAACTTTAATTTGAATCGTCGATCCGTTGGGTTGGGCCAATTTTGATTGTCCGGAACTGACCCAGAAATATATGTGGGCTAGTGCAGTGAATCGACAATTTCGTGATGGCCCATTTTATTAAAAAAAATAAAAAAAAAGTAGGTTGAATCATTGATTTTGGTTCGAAACCAGCACGACGGTTAGAAAAATTACAAATATATGACTCGAAACCGGCTCAGTCAAACCACGGGTTCGGTTCAAAAGCCTGTTGACCACGGGCCGATTCCAGGTTGGTTCGGGCCGAGTCCTGACGTGAGGCAGTGGAAAAACACCAGAATTAACCCACCACATTACCCTTTGTATGCTCAATTACACGATAAAAAACTACTAATTGTTAATTAGCAGTCAATTTTGTTGATTATTTTTACATTAATTTAAATTAGCCGACTTAAGTTGACTTTTGACTTCACGGTATTTGGTCGCTGACGGTAAAAAATTAAAAAGTGTTCAGGACACATTTTAGTGCATCGACCTACTTAAAGCGTGGTCAATTAGGTCATTAATTGAAATATTGAATCTATATATATATAATAAGAATTAACATTTAATAAAAATAGTAGCAAAAAAATAGGAGAAAATTTAATGCAACCTATAAATAGTAAGTCTTTTTTATTTTATATTTTTATCTTTAAAAAATCATACTAACATTAAATGTTGCATTAATTTTGGATTTAATTCATTTTATTATTTAAAAATTCCAGCTAAGATCTATTAAGTGTGCATTTTTTATTTTTATTTTTTTTCATATAAACACCGAGTAACATTAAAATCTAAGTCTCTATATTTATAAAATCTCAATTCGAAAGGTAATAAAATTTTAGAATATTGGTCTTTATATTTATGCCTTCAAAAAAAAGATATTGAATGCTATTCTTTACATATCATTTTTCATTAATTATCACAATTTTTTATTTGGAACGTGTGATAATAAACTTGGTAACGTTTATTATTATTTTTTTTTACCAATCTATTATTTTTTCATACTCGGTTTCAAAAGGTAAAATAATTTTTAAATTCTCAGCCTCAATAATTGTGCATTTAAAAAAAATATTTAATGATAATATATTATTTGTTAATGGTACACAATTTTGAAAACTCCATTATAAATTGATGTTGATATCCAAATCATTTTATAAATGCAATCGACTTTGTTAAATATCCACGAAAATATGATAAACAGAATTAGACGATCAACTTTGTATGGAAATAAAATAGAATCAATAAATCAACGTGAAGTTAAGAGGAAATTAACATAATGAATAATTTGTATAGTACACGGATCTAAAAATTAATACTCACGTGGATTCTAAAATTCAACCTTATACATAACATCATCTTTTGGAAATTGAATAATATATTGTAGTCAAGATTTTTTTTAAAATAATTTTAACATGTTTTATTTATAAAATAGTTTAGAAAAATTTTAGGTGACTTCACATCTTTCAATAAGGATATATAAAATTTTAGATATTTTACATACGTTATATAATATTTTAGGTGTTTTTAATATTTTAAACATACATTTTTTATATTATTTTATACAAGATAATTTTATATTGTTTACATCTGATATACGATAAATCATGTCACATATGAACTCCACATCTTAATTACAATTATTAATTAATATTGTTTACCCTCATATTTAATTTATAATTATGAGTTAATATTGTTTACTATCATTTACTATCATCTTTAATTTATAATTAATATTTAATATTATTTACCCGTGCATCGCACGGGCTACACACTAGTGCGTTTGATATAAGAGTTGGTTGAAAAAGTAGCTGAAATAAATATGTGTAGAATAAGAAAAATGCTACAAGTATATGTATACATAACATTCACATAAGAGTAGAGTCCACTTGATTTTTTATTTTTGATATGACCCACTTAATGTGAGTGTTAATAATGTTTGGCAAAAATTAATATTAATCTAATAAATAAGCTGAAAATACCAAATCGAACAACATATATGTAGAATAATGTCATCACTGTTATAATAAGTATTTAAATTATTTTTGCGATCTTTCTTAGTTATATTCTAATTGTAAAATCCCTCCCACATATAGATGAATATTTTCTCGAACCTACATATCAACTTCACGTACATATTAATTTCTAGTGCTCCGAAATTCTATTTGTTGATTTCTGGTACTTTATAATGTCAAATCTCGGAGCTTCGGAGTAGTTCATTTAAATTTAGATAATAGAATTTTTGTATACATACTTGTTAAGACTTTTAAAATTAAAAAACACTTGATTAATTTAAATTATAAATATATTTTAAAATTTAATAAAGATTTTATTTGTTATCTTCTTTTTAATATATAAAATATCAAATTAATCATCTTTTGATGATCTTCGATTTGATATCCATATTTCATTTAAAAAAAATTAAATTATATCCACCTTTATAAGAAAATAATAAATAATTTATTACTTTCTAATTAGAAAAAAATATTAGTTATTAATTAAATTTTATATATCAAGTCTAGAGTTAGATAAATATTAGTAATAGAAGGTTGGCTTCACTATTGAGTCAACTGTTGGCTTCATAGTAAAATTGTGATAATGAATGTCATTTTTAATGGAAATAAAAAAATAAACTTTCTAAACAGTATTTAAAATTTTAAATTAATTCCTATTTTGTTTTAACTTTTCAAATATAAAATTTTCAATTAATAATAACCGGTGCCGTAGCACTCAGTAATAGTACAAGTTGACAACAGATCAAAACCCAACAAATATGTTTTGAAATTACATGATGCCATAATAGTATGTGTGTAATGTTAGGAAGTAAAATTTACCATGATAAAATAAGGAGGTGAATGCATATGATAATAATATAAAAATAAAATATAATACATAAAGAGACCTTTGACAAAATCTCATAATTATGTCATAAACATAAGAGGAAAAGATTATTAGTTTGTTTGAAATGCCTCTCATGAAAATACACAAGATGGGGACTTCCATCATGTAGCTAGTCATGGGGCATGTATAGGAGTTAAGAATGAGTTCGGCTCGTTAAATAAACGAGTCTGAAATTGAGCTCGAACTCAACTCATTTATCACTAATAATAATTTAACGAGTCTGAAATTGAGCTCGAACTCAACTCGTTTATCACTAATAATAAGTAGAATAAGAATGAGTTCGAGCTGATTAATGTACCGGTCAGCTTTGCAATTCACCAGAAAAATATTTTCAATTTCATATGTAATTTTATATAATAAGTCTTTCAATTTCGTTGGGTGTATCAGTGACTATATACCAAACAAGTGTGTAACAATGTAAAAATTCTACCCCACAAATTCCTATATAAACCACCATTTTTCATGTACATGATCTCAAAAACTCCTATACAAACCACATACTTTTCATGTACGTGATCTCAAATTCACTCCTCCTAGCTCACATATCTTTCCATTTATACTCCTCAACACAAAAAACATTAGGAAAAAAAAAAAGCTCAATCAAAACCATGGAAATAACATTTCTTCCCCTTGCATTCTCCCTTATCCTAATCACCATAACTCTCATTTCCACCTTCCGCCGCCGCTGTCGAGCCACCGGAGGCTCCGCCGCCGCCGCCCTCCCTCCGGGCACCTTCGGGTGGCCGTTCTCCGGCGAGACCTTCCATTTCCTTTTCGGCAAGCCCGAGAACTTCGTCGGCCACCGCATGAAAAAGTACTCGCCGGACATCTTCCGCACCAAAATCCTCGGCGAGAAAACCGCCGTCATTTGCGGCCCCGCCGGCCACAAGTTCGTATTCTCTAACGAGAACCGACTCTTCGCCCCCTTCCGACCCCACCCGATGCAACACCTATTCCGATCCTACCAAAACAAAGCGGGCCCTCCGCCGCCAGACGAGGCCTCCAAGTCCATCCGCCAGCCCGGTTTCCTCAAGCCCGAGGCCCTGGCCCGATACCTTCCCGACATGCACTCCGTGGCCCAGAACCTACTCCGGGCCCACTTGTTTGGCAAAAACGAGGCCCGAATCTACCCGTTCGCCAAATCCCTAACCCTAACCCTGGCGTGCCGGTTTTTCCTCGGCATCGACGACCCGACCCGGATAACCCGATTGGTCGGGAAATTCGATGATGTCACCCTCGGCATGCATTCCGTCATGGTCAACCTTCCCGGGACCGCATTTTACCGAGCCAACCGGGCGGCCGTCGCGATTAGGAAGGAGCTAATAGCCGTTATCAAGGAAAGAAAACGAGAAATGGCGGACTCATCGGGCGGCCGGATATCGAAGGATATATTGTCGCACATGATCGTCGTCACCGACCCAACCCGGAAACCGATGCCCGACCCGGAAATCGCGGATAAAATTATGGGCCTTCTTACGGCCAGTTATAGTACGGTGGCCACAACCATCACTTTCTTGATGAAGTACGTCGGGTTGAACCCGAAAGTGTATCGGAAAATTCGAGAAGGTTATTTTCGTCTTTATTTT